ATCTTAAAGTGCGTACTCAGTGGGTATTTCGTCGCGGACGCTGGTTTCCCGGGAAGCACGTTGCTATTGCCGTCCACCTGTTCCTTCTGGAATTTCTCGATGACCTAGAAAATCGTCGTCGTTCACTGATCGATCCGTTCTTTCGCTCGATCCCGCCTCTCGAGCGGAAAATACTAGAAATTCCGGAGACCAAGCCTCTCCGCAGGAGGACGGATACTCTTCGGAGAGATCTGGCTCGGGTGGAATCAATTTTGCAACCTTATTAAGTATCGCGGTGGCGAGTATGTCCTCGTAGTTGTGCTCCGCGATGTTCCTCGGTTCGTGGACTTTCCCAGTCCCGCCGGAACCAGCGAAGCTCGGTAACTTCTTGGCTTCCTCGACGACCCGCTCGACGACCTCACGCAGGGTCGTGTGCGCCATCGTGGGCGCGTCCGTGCCGGGCTTGTCTAAAAATTTCAACGTTCAAATTCCAATTCGGCTGTCGAATCTCTGCGGAATAAAGCTGGTCTCCTTAGAAAATCTTGGATCACTGGACTCGAGGAGAAACCTCGGTCGTAGAGGAAATAAATCGGGGGAAAGGGTTAACGAGCGTATGTTGATAGAGGAAAAGCAGCGCGTCGGGCTTTCATCGGCTCGGTAGCTTGAATGCTGTATATACAGGGTGAGCCTCGTAACATGACGACTTTGAATAACTCGGAAGTTATGATGAAAATTGTCAAACAAATATTGCACATTTCTAGGGGAACATGCAGTGATGTGACCTGGTTTTTCTTCTCTGTTTTTTTAAACAAAAACAGGTTTTTTGCTTTTTTCATTATTTCTTTTTAATTTCGATAAAATGCCAAATTCTGAGTACAAAGAGTGTTATACGAATGGTTTACGACTTGTTCGAAGTCGCCATGTCACGAGACTCACCCTGTATATGTACGTATGCATATCGGTAATGAGTATCGAGCCATGAGCGAGTCTCGTTCGGCCGAGGCAAGGTAATTTCACCGGTTCTCGGCCTTGTCAGCAATTCCTCATTCTTCCTTTACCTGTCCGCGAACGTACACGCGCGACCGCAGAGAAATTCGACCGGGCGACCTGCTGAACTCTTTTCAGCATCGGGAAACTCTTCAAGTTCAAGGTTTGCGAGACGTAAAACGCAACTGTTCAACGTCCACCGTTAAAAGTTGGTCAAGCTAATGGCCCGTTCGTTAACGAATCTAAAAACCTGCAGATCCTCTGACACTTATGGCTCCCGGAGATATTTTATCCGTTTAGAGAAAAGTTCCGCGGCTTCTTCAGTCGTTGCCGATCCATTCGAACTGTTCAGTTTCTTTTATGTGCAACGGTAAAATTCGCTATATTTATAATTATATATATATTTATATTTTTATTATTTAATATTTCATATATATGATAATGAAAAATATAATAATCTAACAATATATTAAATTTCACATTATATAAATTTCATGTGTCTATAATTTTTGGGTAATTCGATTTTTATCGGATTAAATATGTACACGTGAAGAAGATCGTTTTTTGCTTCGCCATTATAATACAGGACTCTATTTAAATTCCATTGGTGTTTATTAGCCGGCCGGTTAGATTTAGCACATGTGTACGTCGATTTGCATTCATCTGCTCAGAGATAGAGAAAGAGAGAGGCGAACAGTTCTGCGCCTCGATTCCCGTGTATATATTACTTATACATACGAGATTGAACGCACAGATTCCGTCTATCGATAAACTTTCTAACCCTGATCTCTGGACGGTAAGGTGAAGGTCGCCTACATTTATTTCCTGACTATCCATCTCCGTCCATTTCGTTTATCTCCGCAACTATTCATTAGTCACACCGCAGCCACGGACGATCGTCTTTCAATTAATTAAGATCCTTTTTTTCTAATTATCCCTGCGTCCCATTTCCTGGAACTCCATTCCGGCTATTTTTTCTCTTATCTAGAATCGAGTCCTCGTTCATCGACTGATTACACGGAAAAGTGCATCCTTTCAATAACTTTTTTTTCTATTCGACGACCTCCGCTCTTTTAGCAACTTTCAATTACTGATTCATAAACCTACGCGAATGGTTGAATAGCATAACGGGAAAATGAAACACGAGCATGATTACTGACTGTTTCTGGCATTAATTTTGCAAAAGCCAATTATTCGCGCCGTTTCGCTTTTCTTTCTTTTTTTTTTTGACGGACTTTCTAACGGCAAATTAGCGGGAGGGTTTCGAAAGGGAAGGCACCGTGGAATGGAAACGCTTGATTTCTGTTTCGTGAAACGCGACACACGAAATGGTTCGCGAAACGCGCCAGCTGATGTAACGAAATTATAGCGATTACGGCGTGGCACGATCGCGGTGCAGAAAGGTTTCACCCCGTATGTCAAATTGACATACGCGACGCGGGGAAATCGTGTTTCCACCGTTGGTTAATTTAATAATAATTTCTCGTGGCTAAGCTTTCATGTCACTGGACTTGGCCACCCACTAAATTCAGATTACCGATAGATTTCGTACACAGCTTCGTTTTAATCCTGATCGATAGGGATTACTAAAATCTTCTGCCTCGCCGTTTTCAGCGAATGCGAAAAAATTCACCAGTTTCGTATCTACGTCCTTGGAGCGATAAGTTGGTTACTTAACTGATAAGATAGATAACTTAGCATAATGGCTGAGCAATCGGTATTTCAATTGCTTTAATATTTTAACCTTTTCATAAAAAGATTTGACGTTGTCAAGAATTTTTATAAGACGTTCAATCTTAATTGCTATTATAGTAAAGGTTCCAGTTTCTGTTCGAGTTCCAATTTTTACTCATTGGCTCTTTTTCCTATAATTATTTATGGAATCTTAGGTTAGTGAGTAGAAATTGTGATGTGAGCATAAATTGGGACATTTATCTTATGTTTCTGAAATCTTAATTTCTCTCAATCTGTCATTGCGTAAACTTGGTTTAAATGAAGAATTTGAATAACGAGAAAAGATAAAGGAATATGCGAAGCAAGGTTGTAAGACATGGTAGAATCGTACGATTCTGTCTATGATGAATAGTGATAATCTCTGTGACCTATTGAAAATGAGTCTTGTGTTATCGCTGCAGTTACGTCGTTGTCCCTTAGGTTGATCAGAATTGAATAATCGAATCGATCACAATAATGAAGAAATTCTTACGCTCGAGGAATCATCTAATATTTTTTTTTAAAAATCATAATATGCAGTTTACCTTTGATATTTTCTGCCTCTCTGGACAAAAAAAGGGATCTTTTTTATTTTTTAAATTCAAAGTCTAAAGAATAAAAATGGAGATGACAGAAATTATTTACAGCGTCTCGGAATAGAAGGCAGATGACAATCTACGGTTTATTCTTTTGCGAAATGCTTGACGATGTTATTAGGGAATGTGATGTGAAATTTTTAAACGGAGATTCTTTCGTGACAGACTATTACGCCGAACCGTGCCAGGGACACGCGGCTTACCGGTGACAACCTTAGAATAATCTGTGTCGATGACAATTTCCGATGTTTCCGCAGGCTATAATAATCTGTATCTCATAGCAAATAAATGTCAAGATAAGATAGACAATATTTGGAGATGATTAAATCTTTGCCAGAGATAAATAGTTCTTCCTTCTGCGCCCCCTTTTACTTTCATGTATTCCGAATTTCTCAATTAAAATAGTAATTAAGCTTTCGTAATATTTAACGGTACTGGTTATAATCGAGTTCCGGGTTTCACGTGAAAGAAGTCGGCAACCTATTAATCCGCGCACTGCTTCCGTCCGATGGTACCGAGAGATTCGGCAAAAAGCTGGGGATACCAAATGTAATTACCATCTCGCTTGGCGATCAGCACGTAGATGAAATAGGCGACGATCAGGCCGCCGATCAGCGTCAGCATCTCCGCGATGAGTTCTAGCAACATTTATCACGTGTATCGCGTTGCATCTCCATTCGATAAGCTATTGTCGTTCACACTTTCCAGTTAACGCCGACTTCATCCAGACGACTCGCTCGCGTCAACAACCGATTTGTCTACTCGAAGAATTAAAAGAGTCCAGGAAGTCGTAATATAAAGTAGAGCGATCGATCCACTTGTTAAAATCTAGGAAATTCCTTGTCTTCTCTATAGTGACCTTTCGACGAAACGAAACTATTTTTATCTTCTGAATCTCTTTTAGCACACAGTTTCTCCATATTTATAGGAAAGAGCGAGAGGGAGAGGTGCTTAGGTACACAGAGCGAAGACGATTCGTACCCGGGAAGAGGCGACGTTATTTCAAAGAATGCTTCGTACGAAACGGTAACTTTCTCGTTTTCTCGCGATCGACTAATACCGGAAGACGTCGCGGTTTAACGTCGCAATTTCTATTTAGCACGGGAACAGAATTACCCACGCTTTATGTGAAACTCGACGATCTCTGTGATTTCGTTTTATAATGTTTTTCCCCGTGATGATCGCACTTTCAGTCGTGCGTCGTCTGGGTCGTTAAGACTGTGTCATAACTATAAAACCAAGTATTTCCAATTAATATGAAGTAGAGACGATGTTATTAAAAAATAATTCGTAGCTACTTTTCCCAAAGAAAAGTTGTGTGATCTGGTATTAAAAAATGTTATTCCATTTTGTAGAGTGTCTGAATATCAATGGGGCCTAACTGTACGTTTTCATTTCCATCGGATTTACAATTATAACATGCTACATATTTTCTAACGCGAAACGCGCATAAATGAGCGACGAGAATGGTCTTTAAACCCTCATTTGAATAGCTGCCCGACAACGATGATTCTTTATGAACTTTGACACTTCCCGTGCGACACCGCAATCTCTTTTTACACACGCCTTCTGTCAACGGGTTATCCTTATTATCGTTACCGATTGTCGTCACCGTTGATTAAACACACTTTTTTCTTACCGCTTTTCGATCGCTAGACCGTTGTGTAACGAACTAGAAGTGTTCTGGCTATTTTGAAAACCGGAATACCACGTCCGCTTCAAAAATCATTTCGCGCAACGGAATTTATTAACTTGTCTCATAGAAAAACGACGATTTGTTCACCGATCGAACGACTGCCAGTATTTTAAGTTTCGAACGCAACTACTTAATATAAGCATTAGAGTCCTTCGCACAAATCGCAGTCGCCTTTTCGCCGATCATGCAAAACGCCTTGGCGCAAGCAATCGTAACTACCACTGCTGTTACACAATAATCGTTCTGATAGTTTCTATTTAGAATTTGTTGAAAAGCATTCTATTTCAGTCGCGTTTATCGTTTTCCGATTAAATAACGCAAACAATCTTTTTTCCTTCTCAAAGTCTCGAACGATGTTCAGTTAATTATGGGAACATGCATATATGAGTCTAGTCGCGGAGTTATCGAACAGGCGACGCATGGCTTCGCCGCGTTTCTCCCACCTTTTCTCGTTATCGAAGCCAATTATCATCGCGACCCGCCATCTATGCCAGTATAAGTTTTCTTATTCCCATCGATCAAAGCCAAAGTAAGAAATATATCGATTTCTGTCCGATCACGAAACGATGTTCTCCTCCCTCGCTGTCTTATCTTTCAATTAATTAAGAATTTTGAGATTGCGACGAAGCGTATTCCTTCTTTTCCTTACGATATCTCCGACTCTGTGTACCTCCGCTTAAATATTTCTTATCCTGCGCGACGATTATACTCCTTAAATCTGCGAGAATCACCTTGCGATCAGAGATGATCGCTTTCAATTTCACTTTGCACCTTTGGGATTGAAGGGTTGTGTCGCCACGCGGAGTTCGCGTGCCCGCGGAACATTTCAACGAACTCCGGCGATTTTTAACGTGGGGATCGCGAATAGTCGGAGGAACCGGCGAAATCGTGAACGCGTGTCGGTGCGTAATCGCACACATGCGCCGCTCGCGACTGACTGCTCGCGAGTCTTTGCTAAAGCGGCCTGATACGACGTACCCCACATACGCCGCTCTTCGCGTGTACGGCTTCCTCTCTTTAGTGGGGGATACTTTTGTGAGGGAACCTACATTTTCTAAAATCGACGTCGCTCGCGTGGCTGTTCGGAGACCGGACTTTGTAATCGTTGTGAACTGAAGATTTAATTTTTTTTATCACTACACCGTGGATTTTATGTTTATGAAAAATTATATGTGCAGAAGACATAAAGACTGCGTGTAATGTGCAAAATTCATGGTATGAAAAGTATAATCATGTACGTCATTATTTTTTAACTGTAAAAGAAATATTGAATTCAGATTTCATTTTTTAAACTGATATCACGAACTTAGTATTTTGCATAAAGGTTCTACTTATTGTCCATTGTACATAAAATGAATTATTTTAAATGATATTTTCTTTCCTAGAAGAAAGTTTCTTATACAGAGTGTCCCAGTATTGATAGATACAGCCTGGGTGTACATGCAGGTGATTTGTGCTGATGTGGAGTTGACTATACAGGAGAGAATATGTCGGAAATATGAAATAAATTTTCGTCATCGAGAACAAAGCCTGGAATAAAAATCTATTCCATATTTCTAACTTATTTCCTCAAGTACGATCACTCCCTCCACGGTAGTACCATGAATACTGAGACATACTATATAAAGAAAACTGACTTTCCTATTTCCTTTTATCGTTAACTGTTTAAGTGTGTTTATATTACGTGTAAGAACCACGGATACCATCGATTAGTCTTCGTAGAAACCAGCGGTCAGCTCGTTACTAATCGAAACGTACGTATGAAATCGCGTTTTACGAAAGCAAACTGATAAACATGAATTTCCTTATCAGAGCGGTAAATTTCCGACTGCGTACACGGAACGACTAAAGCCACCGTCGAATTTGTTGAAATTAAGAACGACGAAAAGGAGCTTGTCTTTCTTTCCGAATTGTGCAAATAGGAAATGTGAAAAGAGGCGCAGCTGCATTGTATGGTAAGCAGTGACGAAATTACAAGTGATAAATATTGATGGAAAGAAATTTATGAACCGCAATTTCTATACGTGATTTCATGACTATAAAAGTAGCTCGTAATCGGTAATAACGCCGACGAACACGCTGAGGTTACGGCCGTTGCATTCAAAGGTGAAATAAAAATTATTAATGAAACGCGCGAAGTAATAAGAATTTTTTACAATAATTTATTGAAATCGTTTATGTGCATATGTAAGTAGTTAATGTTTTTCCTTTAAATAGACGCGTCACAAGGAGACTGACGTACGGAATCGATTTGCTTCCCGACAGGATGACAAGAAAAATGATCTTTTCCGGAACGAAGGTGAAGCTTTTCTCTCTGCACTGACTCATTTTCTTACGTAATCGGCAAACGAGCTATCCTGTTTAAGATTGTCGTCCTGAAATCGCTTCGTCCGCCATTGTTCTCTACGGATCGTCCTTCGATCGAGCAATTTCGTATGATTCATATTATGGAGTGTAATTTATGCAATTTTATAAATAAAGTAGCGACTAGGAAATTGTGCGAAAATTCTCTCAATAGTGCAGTTTTTAAATTTAAACCAGAATTATTCAATGATGACCTTAAGCAGATAAGTAATAATGAACGTAGACTTAGAAACCTATTTACAATTAGTATTAGGAATTATAATTAATGGAATTGCATTGGTATTTCTCTGAACATGATAAAAGAACATAATGTGTATTCTTGCACATACGTAATTGTCATTGCAACGTAAACGAAAGCTACAATATTGTCATGGTCATTGTCGATTGTCATCGTTTTGGAAGGCTGAGAATTGTACGAAAATTGGTTTGCTGTGGCAGTACGCCTCGTGTTCTTTCACCAGGTGTTCGAATATCTTCCGTGGGTCGTGGTTAATAATTACCAACAGCGCGTCTCGGAATTGACACATCATTGCCAAAGAAAATTTGACAGCTTAGTCGATTCGTTCCTGTCCCTCCGCATTTGAAAACGCGTGTATCGCTAGTCACTCGCGGCGCGTTGTTCCCAAAAAATGTTCATGCAAAGCGTATGCAAATGCCGGTATGGCTTTTACATGCACGTCCCGCGTGTCCATCGCTTTTCCATGCAAATGCGTATTATGCGTCTTCCATGCGCGGTCTTTTGTTACTTCTTCAGTCTCGTCTTCGTCGAAAGGAAGGAATTGAAATTTCGTCATTAAATGCACTGCAGCGTAATTTGTTACTTAATGCGAGATGTAAGTAATACTTTTTTTTATGCCACGAATACGGAGGGGTGTCTCGATTTCTGTTCACGACACAATTTCTACTCACTTGTGTATTTTTCTATAATTTTATGTTATCTAAAAATTATAGAAAAATAATCCAGCGAGTAGATATCGTGAAGCGAATGGGCATTGGGACATTTACCTTAATGTTATTTCATAAAGACGTGAGCAATAATGAAAAGCAATCGAGTTCTCCGAAAGGAGACTATCTCGTGGGAAAGGAAAGAGACGTTAATGGTACAATGGCCATCGCGTCGTGTCAACGACAATGATTTCTGTGCCGTCTTACGTAACTGGGGAAGTTAGGTCGTTCGTCGCTAATCGACCAGCAAAGATTGAAACAAAAAAAGAAACATTTTCTTTCATGATCGTTGGCCTAATCGATTATTAGGTAATCGTTTAATCCTGTTACTTGGAGAAATACGATAAAATATTAAGTAAAATAATTGAGTATTAAGATTGAGTTAGTTGAGGTATAAGTTAGCGATAATAGAAGAAAACGAACGATTTACTGCTTAAATATACATACTTTTCAAGGACGACTGCAGGATCGTAGCCAAATGCATGAGCGCATCCATTAAGGATGTATTGGCTATACAGTCAATCCAAAAAGTTTATGCACTTTAGAAACGCATTTTTTCAAAAGAAATCAGACGTCGGAACAACATTGCTAATAATAAACGACAAAAAAAAATTTTCGATTTTTCCGAGATTTTTCCAAGGGGTACCCCTTCAGATTTTGCGAAAATTTCGTTTTTTGCCAATAACTCCCAAACGGATGGAGATACGGGAAAATTGTATGAGACCTTTCTTGTAGAGGACGACGAGACCTACAATTTCCATGTAAAAACTTTTAGCTAGCGTCAATAGTTTACGAGTAATTTGCGAAAAACTGTTTTTTCGTTTTTCGTAAATTACTCGTAAACTATTGGCGCTAGGGGGGAAATTTTGTATGGAAATTGTAGATCTCGTCGTCCTCTACAAGAAAGGTCCTATGCAATTTTCCCGTATCTCCAATGGTTTAGGAGTTATTGAGGAGAAACGAAATTTTTTGCCAGAAGTTCGCCATTTCGACGGTGGAATGGTCGGATTTTGTCAACATCAATAAAATGCCATATAATGATATGTAACTCGTTAAATATCGAAGTTAGAAGGAAAACAACTTTTATTTGAAGCATTTTTAGTAAGTTCAAACCGGAGTAACATACTGGAAGAAAGCGAATGAATTGTGGGACACAGTAAAGTGTCTTTTAATTAAATGTACTTACTTTTTAAGGAATCGTGTAGGACCATAACCAAACGTGTGAGTGCCTCCACTAAGAGTGCAACGTGTTTTCCCATAACCGTGTCATCTATTAATTAGCGTTGTTAGTGTAACGTGAGAAAAACGATAATTATAAATCACGATTGTTTCTGTAAAGTTGTATGAGCTTTTAAGGGACTAGGGTAGTCGATAAAATTTTAAGGTTCATTTACTTTGTTTTATCAAAGAAACTTGTTAAATACTTAATTAAATATTCTTGCTACACTTGCTTTGTGACATAATTCTAAAACCCGTTCGACCTCTCTAAATTTTTTAATCGACGACCTCAAATAACAAAAGACAGTTGTCTTTTTTAACTTACATGCTGGCTGATCGTACGATCGATCGATCGATGCGTCGTTCGCGTTTCCGATCAGACCGTCGACTATTCTCTCAACGAAATCGCGTACGGCTTCCATCGAATTCGTCTCTTCTTTCTCCGCGGCCAAACCCTGGCCCGAGCTGCTGGTAGTTGCATTTTCCACTCCTGCAAATAAATTAATTAAAAATTATATTCACTGTTTAAGACGGACAATATTTTGTTGTATTAAAAGTTGCTCGTACTCGAATTTCATTTGAAAAATAGAAGTGTCATGGTAAAAGGGGAATGTCAGTCGATGTACGACATACACTATATATTTTAAGCGGAGTTTCGAAAGGAAGAAGACTTAATATTGGAAAGGAACAGCTGTCCCTGCGATTTCATTTTAAACGGGGTCATCGAGCATGTGTCCGGCATCGTTAACATTAATTTCCCGTTTTAAGCATAAATGCATGTTTTGTAGCAAACGCTTTCTGATAAACGGTACAATATAGTATAAAAAGCTCTTGCGTTTTGTCATTCTGAGGTTGTATGAGTCGTTGAATATAAAGAACGGACGGAGTATTGAAATTTTAACACTTATTAAACGTCACATTAATAGAACATTATGGGCAACTTTAGAAATTGTGTGAGGCTATTAAAAGAGTTATTACACCTTGAATTCTTCTATCGAACAGCAAAATTGATGAAAATATTATTATAGAAAATTTCAATGCGTCGGTTTAAATAGAAATTTAATCAGCAATCATAAAAGTATAAATTGATCACCAAGCACCAAGTTATCACTGTTTCGCATACTATCAATTTTATTTCATCTCATATTTTAATTCTGATTGAAATTATCAGATATAATATCAAACTTACTCATTCATGCGGTGAGAACTTTCCCTCGTCCCAAACGTGAACGCGGCGCTTCCATTTTTTAAAGAAAAAATAATCCGATTCGACAAACGGAGATTGGTTTGTTTACAACCGTAGTGGCCGGTGTATCGATTTCGAGTTAGAATCGATTCTAACGGAGACGCGACGCGATCGCGAATCCCTGTCCAACTGACACGGGCCGGCCGGGTCGCTTTCTAAACGAAAGTATCGACAACCATTAAGGATCTACTACCGTGGTCCTTTTTTCCCCTTCGTTCGCGTTTGTAACCGCATTCTCTTTAGGCGAGTACCGCAAGACCGGTATCGGTACGTGCATTTATCAGTTATCACGCGGCTTCGAGGTCGCCCGAGCGGCAACCGATCGATCTGTGCTCCTCTCGATCTCCCTCTCCTTCGCTTTGCGCCTACGACCACTCTTCTCAATTCCCTTCACGTACTTCCTTTATCAGTTATTACTGTCTTTCATTCGTTGTCTTCTTTACAAATACATGTTTTCCTTCAAGGCTGAGTTATTATGACTCTCGTTAAAATTGAACACACACGTATTACACACTTTTATAAAATTACAAAGACACCTCCAATTTTTGCTAACTCTCGCGGATTTAGTCTATTTATTGGACACATTTAACTTGATTGTACAGATCTTCAAAGACAAGGATTAATTTTCAATATCTCCGACAATCTTGAAAATTGTCTCAATAATAAAGACACGTTGTGTCTTAAAGTTTTTTAGAAAAATTTATATTATACAATATAGAAATACTAAATTAGTTTATAGTATATAAATAATTATGCAATAATATAGTTTTTCTAGTTTTCATATTTTTCTAATTTTAATTTGCACTGTTCCTTTTTGTAATCACTTCGCATCCGTTATAATCGACTTGAAAAAGCTGTTTGAAAATTCGCTCGACGGCCAGTGGGAACTGCACGGTGACTTAACCGGTTGCACTTCAGCGAACCTTCAGAACAAACTCCTCGGCCACGTTTTTATGCGCGGTCCAGATCATCCCGGTACACTCCAACGGGTCCTCGATTAGGTATCACGACTTTCGCGCGTTTCTGCCGGTCCGCTATTTTCCATTTCTAATCGCTTGAACCGGTCGGTCCCGCCGCGAAAACGAAAAGAAACACGCGCGCGCGCGCCTCTCTACTGTATTTTCACCAAAGGGGACGTCCAGCTTTCACGCTGCCCGCCCGGCTTCCGTCCTTCTAAATCGCGTATTCGCGTGCGCGCCGCAATTATCGATACGCGACGATCTCACGACTCGCGTGTTCGCCAACGGAGACGATATTTCGCGTGGACGACAGTCTGGTCGGCGAGAAACGAGCGCTCCTTTTCCTGGAACCAACGGAGAAAAGAAGACCGTGATAGGAAAAAAGGAACGCGGCCCGCGGACTCGTTCCGCGCGAGCGGATTCTTTCGCGGGGATGCGACGGCGAGTAACGGCGAACCGGCGAAGAAGAGAGGAGCACTCCGGCGAAGTGCGCGATGTTGCTCCCGGGAGTACTGGAGCAGAACTGAAGGTTCGCCACCTCGGGCCCCGGTAGACAATAAGACCGGCGAAGCGCGCGGGAGTTCCGCTTCCAGAGCGGCCCGAAATTCCGATCCGGAATTTCAGCTCCCCACCGGCCGCCCCGCTAATCGATTCCTGCGAGCGCATTCCGTGATCCCCGAGAGCCTCTTTCCTTCTCGCCCCTTGACGCGTTTCAAGCACCAAACCGAAGTGGCTTTTCAGCGAAGCATTGCTGAAAAATTCTGACGATGGAGAAACTTTTAATATACTAACACCAGAACCACCGACTATTTTTTTCTACATGCATTTCTTCATTTAAAACTAGTCATCTTCACTGGTTTGATAATTCCAGTGTTAAATATGTCCTATTTTATTCGGAATCGCTAATCTTATTTAAAAATGATTTCTTATGCATTCGATGTTAGTTTCGTTTAAGTTGAAATCAGGGAATTGATCATGAATCTTGTTTCGTGAAATTTTGCGGAATGCGGCAAGTTGGTCGCCGGCGCACCGGTTTCCTAGAAGAAATAACGAGCCGAGAGGGATCTTTCGGACCGCGAAAAAGCGACGAGCAGAGACAAAAGTGTTCGCCACGAACATGCTCTAACCATGTTTGGCGAACGGATCCTTGGAATAAGCTATGCGCCTCGATTTCGATCGATCCTGTCTCTTTAAGCGATCCGTGATCATCCATAATGGTGAACGCATACCATTTTAATTAAGTCTTAAATAACGCTCTCGGACAGTGCAAGTTTTTATTTAAAATCTCATTAACCGTTAACTCTTTCTATTAAGATTTTTCATTCGACCTAGCAATCTCAGCTCTTGTTAATGTATAATAACAGGATTTATAATCCAGTTTATACCGTCATAAGGACTCGTTCATATTTCTTATTATGAATCTTCCCAATTATTCTTCAATTAATTATGGGATATTGTACATATAGAATTTTACTGTTGAGAACGGCACTTGGAGCGAATTGACTATATTATAGTACGAGTGACCCGCATCCTAAGTTCCAGCGCCGGTTGCACGTAACGGATCGGTGAATCTCGTATCGCGGGCGAGGTAAAAGCCAGTTTCCACGATTATCCAAGGAGAGAACTGTGCGATGGATGATCCGTCGGCCGTTCGTTCGGAGTCTCGCTCTCGCGGCCGATCGCGACGGTCTGATACGATTCACGCGGAAAAGATCGCAAGCGCACCGTCGAACAATGAACGTCGCGGGGAATCCGCGGCGTGAGATCATTTTTGCGTGCCCGTTGTTATTGTTGCCTATCTTCCCCGTTACACGCGACTTTTCCGGCTTCGGAACAAGGACGCGGGCAACGTTGCATCGCGATTTCAGGATGGAGACACAATGGAGGAAGGATTCACGATTCAAAAGCTCAATTAACATTTCACCGCGCGGCTAGACTTTCACGGCACCCGGCCGTACCACTGATCTCCGTTTTTCTTCTGTCTTCTGTCGGCTTTCTTTATCCGTCGACTCCTTAATCGCAAACCTCTTACCGTAATTACCTTTTTATCGTCGACAATTAACATCTTTCTAAAGACGCAACAGCTTTGACATACTGCGGATTAAATAATATTACTCGCTTCTTTTCACCGAGAAACATTCAGTGCATTCACGTTTTATACGGTAATAGACGTGTGTTTAGGCTGCTCGCAAAAGATATTGATTCTTTTTAGAGTCGCAACGAGCTTTGACATACTCAGGATTAAATAATAACTAGTTGGGGAAACGGTTTCTTCGTATTGTCACTTCGTTTAAAAAATACAATTAAAATTCTTCAATTAATTTTGGAGCAATTATAGAAAATCTGTTAATATTTATCTGAAGAAACAGTTTTATTACTATTTTCGGTTCTTAGAGAAAATGAATACAACCAGAAACAGGTGAAGATTCATTGTCGCAAGCTGTTCAGTCGTCTTACAAAAGAGATTGATTTCACCGAAGTTTGTAGAGGACATTCTTGAGTCTATTGTTCTCGTGTAGTTTGATAAACTTCGCAATCGGCCGAGATAAGGATTGCACGGGTTGCGGACGGCGCAATTGAAATCGGCTTTAATTGTTAGCACAGTACGACTTGGAATAGGCGGGGCCGGTGCGTCCAGGCCGAAACGTGGAAACTCGTTCGAAATTTCGCGATGCTCGTCCGTCTAAAACTGGGGACGGTGAGACACAGTCGTAATTAAATTCCCGTCATCGGTCTTCTGTATGCCCGGCGTGAATCGGTTCGCCGATCGTTCACCGCGCCTACGAGTCTCGACCTGCAAATCAATTCGCTCCTCGGGGTGCCAACAATTGACCAGGATTCGTCTCCGGTAAGAGTTTCCCGCTTGGACAATTGTTTTCAGGCCGTTTCTTTGCCAAGACAGTCACATTTAGCGGGGAACACGGAGGAATGCTCTATCCTGTGTCGCCTTGAAGACTGCATTATTTATAGAGGATCGCGTGGGTCGATTCTCCTGGGAACTCGAAGGGACAATCGTTTTCCTGTACCCGACTCGCATTTTCTTTATCTCTGTCTTTCTCAATATGCTGCCGGTGAATATCTATTATTTATAGTACGTGCGATAGCTTCCGATAGAGTATAAAATGACTATGATTTTCCAACACTAAACCTATTATGCATTGGTAAAATAATACAGGCAAACAAGAAAGGAATAATTAAAAACTTTTTTAACGTTAATAGTAATAAATAAAGTAATATAATTAATAGTAACTAAATTTGTTAACCAACGATCCTAAATATCCTTTTATGGGAGAAAAAAAAGAGTTCGTTCCGCTTTTTCTTTAAAATCGATCTCCAGTTTTTTTCTCCTCAAAACTGGTTAGCGTAATCGTAAGACTTTTCCAGTTTCCTGTTCGCCGTTTACACCCTTATATAATATTAAGTCAGTAACATTTCCGGTTGCAATCGACACGATTTTGCTGTCGATACGAGTCACGCCGATAAAGTTGATTCGTACAATCGATATTATTTCAGTCGGTTTCGATAAAAGTATCCTAGATTTGCTATACTATATGTATGTACAATATTGTAAAATGTTTAATCAACGAACCTCCCACATAAACTCGTGCTTTTCCCGTATTGATGTATCGATGTAGTTCCTTCTCGTCGATCGGTCCGCCAAGCACCTCCGACTCGGTTTTTGCTAACCAATACCTGTCAAATTCGATTGTCATTAAAAAATTATTCAGAATATGCAGTGAAGTCCATAAATTAATTAGTTATTTTTTAATTTAAACAAATTAATTCGTTAAGCCCAGTATTAAAAAAGTTATTCACTTTTTAAATGTGCACAAATATTTATGAACTTTACTAGAGGATTTTGCAGACATTTTGTCGGACGCAAAATCCTGCTAAACCTTAATTAGTAGCGGAATCTTTCACGGCAATTAAAGAGCGTTTCGTGAAATAGTTGTGCAACGAATTAGCATACGTGTGTGGCAATGAGAACCTTTGTTGACGGCAAAATAGACACTGCCAGGCGTTATCAGACGGATCCCAGCGGGAGCAGCCTTTCCTGCAGGATTTTGCACCGCAATCCTTGCAACGGACACCGTGGCTGAGGAAGAACGGCCTAAGGCAGCAGGAGCAACGATTGTCGTCCACAGGTATTTCCTTATCGCCTTGTCTCGATTCACCAGATTTTCTGTAATGATTTAAACGATTCTTCAATCGATGTACTTGAAGACCAAAAGGTATTATTACATAAAGAAGAAAAGTGTAGCCTCGTAAACTCATATTTTCTTCTAATTTCGTGGAAAATCATTGACATTCTTGTTTATCGCTTCACTATCGGAATCTTCCCTTTGCTATTTTCCCTCCGTCTCTAAATATTTAACCAAATCTCCTTGAAAGCTTTACTTAGCACAGTATACGAAATTTCATCAAAATCTGATTGTTGACTCTATTATCGATAGAACTCGCTTGAGAGAAAATGAGAATAGCTAACGAAAAAGATTATGATGCATTTTACATAACAATTTCTTCTGTCATTCAGCAACATTCGTTCGTTTTTTGATATTTCATATCTCACACATTACGCACAATTTTCGTACTATATCGTACACATTTAATTCGTTATAAATACATAAAATCGTCAGTCTACTTATCGAAGACAATGAAGAAAAACACATGTTAATCTTTTATTTAAAGAATCTGTTTTTATTGATCATCAAATTGCATCACTATTATTACTCGCATCATTATTATACAATTCGTTTGTGAGTTACGTCTAACCAAACGCAGGAAACTTTTTTCTAATTCGCCGCACGCTATGCGGCTACTAATCGAAGCACGTGCAACGCATCTTTACGTAACAACTGGTTTAAATATAAATGCATGCACTTTCGAAATATCTTTCTGCTCGCAGCTACTGTCAAATCCAGCGAACTTTCCACGACTATCGCACTATTACGCAATACATCTATATAAACGTTTTAGTATCAGACAACATTCTCACGTCCTGCGAACAAGAATCTATCCGGATTTTTTTTTAAAACAGCAATTCATGTAACATCGAATAAAAATTGTACATTCAATAGAATCCATTCAGAATCACAATTAATAAGTAGAAACATTCTACAAATGCTTATCAATAGACAGCGGATTTTATGCACTTATAAGAATATTGAATAAAAAGAAAGTTGATATTACAGTATTTAAATAATAAAGCAAATGTTTACCTAAAATAAATTTTTCAAATTGACACCATGAATGTTTTATTTTGCATAAAAGTCCGCAGTCTACTTATGAATCACACAGTAATACACTTTATGAAGGAGTTGTTACATAATGCCAAATCGAGACACCTGGTGTTTTTAAGACAAATCGAACCGAATCCTGTTTTATCCTCTTCCGCGTTTCCTCGGTTTATTACGGTATTAAGATCGACGAACGATCGAGGATCAGTCCTCGCGATCGAAGAAAGTGGCAGCAGCTCTCAAACCGGCGTGGCTGTCCTCGTCCCTTTCCATGTCCGACGTGACCACCTTCACCACGACCACTTCGATGGTGATCAACAAGAAGAGCACCATGAACGTAGCCATGTTGTACTTCTCCTGGCCGGGGACGACCCTTTCGCCCTCCAGCAGCAGCGTGGAGATGATGCTCGAGACGAAGGTCAGCATCCTTTACTCCGTTTTCACTTTCGATCCTGCGAAACGAGTCCGCCTCATTCACCGGACCCTCAACAAAATCGTGATCGACCTCACGAATGAAAAAAATTATCAGCAATCTCTTCGAGGCGAAGCCATCTAATGATCCATCAGTTATGCCAATTGACCGGACAACTTAGAAAACGAGTTTTCCTTCTAAACTTCGCTCCGTGCTTCTATCTGTCTCTTTATTCCATTTTATCCTTCGTTACACGAATGGATAATTCTATTTCAACTTTTTATTTATTTTAATTGTTCTCAACATTTTCATAACGTCTGCGCAGATGACATATCTTTAAAAATTGTATCAGATTGACTCCCAATACAACTTCTTTCATCCTTTCCTATCCTATTTCTCGAGTTTCAATCAATTCTTTGTCACGATGAACGTTTTTATGTTTACTTGTGTTCCACTTTTATTTCCTACTTTCCAGGCGTCTTTTTTTTATCACGGCCTCGAATTTTCTTTCTGCCACCCTTAATAACGCTGATAGCGCGGCTGGTCGAAATTAGCTTTCGACGCAGATTCTCAATTGCCTGTCGTTCCTGAATGAATTAAACGTCGATATCTTCGCTCTAATTCCCCTCACCTATGCGATGTCATCGAGATTACATAAAATTCGAATCACGTCATGTTCTTCAGTAACACATTCCCAATAGTCTTCACAAATTAGTCCACCATGAAAAATGCCACCGAATATATTATGGACAAGCGTTTATGTTCTTCAACAAATATTTGCATCGTTCACAAAGTTCTCCACTGTTCCGTCTATGACGAAGCGGCACCAGATATAAAATCGAATGTGTTATGTCCCTCCATTATATTACGTCAGATCTTCTAAATGACTGTCCATCAGCAACCAGGAATTGAAGGAAACTTAGGGAATCTCAACTCGCTGGTCCCTCGCCACCCCAGGTGAATCTCCCGCCACGGTTTCTTCTTCGAAATCGTCGGACCCGATTCTTCCATTCAGATCAGTAAATTTTCGTACCGGCCGGATTCGGTGTTCCTTTGTGTCAGGCTGCCGGTTCGAAAGTGACAGTAGCGGCTTGGGTCTCACGGTGGAAACTCGGCACAGGATGGTAGGAGATCTTTTCCCCCTTTGCCCGCCGGTTGAGCACCGCTGCCGGCACGTCAATTAACGTGAACTTTCACTGCGGATTTCGACGGTCGCGCTGCTGCAGGCAGGAGTGCGTGGCTGTGTTTCGCGAAGCGGAAAACAGAGAGGCGACTTCGCCGAGCCCTCGGAGCCGTTTGACGAAATCGTAACCGCGGCATGTTGTTATAGGTCGAAATCGAGACTCCCCATTACCTGCTGCCCGACCGACTCCCCTGTTCTGTGATGTAATTTCGAAAGCGTAATTGTTACGTAGCTCGAAAACCTTTCACGGGTTCTGGATCGATACGTCGACCCGATCTAAGAATCCTTGGGATCCTAACCGGTATTCCACGGTACGCAAGTGCTCCGTGAATTTAGAGAAAGAAAAATATGAAAATCGCTGAAAAATTAAGACGGTTATTGACCCGTTCGGATCATATGACGTCCCGGGGTCCTCACACGATTTTTCGCCGTATAAATTACGTGACAATCGTTGATATTAATGTTCTTCTCCAAATTTATTTAGTAGGCTAATTGTAAAAAAAAGACTCAATTCTATATATATGATTTCTTAGGTATTACTTCATGAGACATTTACAATTTTATAAGTTCAATAAGTACATTAATTTATTATTAAGTTACAACAAAACAGTACATAAATACGGTTTTGATAATATCGTTTCCTCATAATTCAGTGAGTTGTAATTTTGTTAGCGGATCGACTGCGGCGGTAGAGGAAAATTTCGTTATGCTATTAGTTTGTTCGTTAACTAATTTTAGTTATTACCTCGGTTATAAACGCAGTAGGTAACAAGGTTTCACGCTGAGTGATCTAGCCCGTGCACGCTTATGATACTAGCCGTAATAAAAGTGGACGACGTCTTGAATGCGACCGAAAGAGAGACTTTAATGAGCGGCTTTAAGCATGTTTCGCGTCGCTTATAAAACGGCCACCTTAAACGTATTGGGTTTAATGAATTTTAATCTAACTTCGTTGAAGTGTTCCTTTCTTTTTTTAACTCTATAATGCAATTCAATTGGATTCGGCAAAACGTTTACATTATTTAGTCGTATTATCGGTCACGGAAAAATATGCGTCTTACGAATAATTGCTTAATCGCACAAACTTACGTGTTTTTATTCACAAGCTTCTGCGGATAATGTTATGATTACTTCGCCGACAATTGAAAATTAATCGTGACTGATACAACATTGTACAACATAAAATTTTTCTCCAATATCCACTACGTGATTCTCAAGAGTTTCTCGTGCCAGAAATGCTCTATCGTTCACTGTTTTCAAAAAATAGCAGTTTCTGTAAAAATACTGGATTTTAGAGAAAAATCAAGTATTCCATATTTTTGCGTATGGTTTCTTTCATCAGAAACGTCTGTAGAATTCAATATTGTGCAACAAATTCCTGCTGGATAAAGAGATTTCAACATAAATAAAAAAATTGTGCTTCCTTGCGTAAGCGTCGTAACTAAAAAATAACAATTGTCGGGACACTAATCGTTATCGATTAGCGCGGGCAACGTAATAAGGTTTCGAAATTGCGCGTAGGTTTGGAGACGATTAGTACCTTTTTCGTGTGCCTACGTATCGTCTCTACGATTACGTGATGGGATTATGCGTGAGAGGTATCTAATCACAGGTACATATACGTATTGCGAAATGCACGTCAAAGGAATAAACTTGCGTCATACGCTTTATTCAAACATTTTTGACTTAGGATTGTCAATTGTTGCGTAAATCATTTCATTACTCACCGCAACTCGATTACCAAAAGTTTAAGCCTTTCTCTTTTAAGGTAGTTGTTGCCTACGTGAAAAATACTTCAATTTATTTTTGAAAGGACAGAACTGCTTTAATCGAAGTAAAATTAATTATCAGCTGATCTCTTTATTTATTATCATTTTGCAACTTTTTGAAATTTCAGTTTAATCTTCGAACATCGCGCGATTCATCAGAATTCTCTCTTAAGGGTTTCACTCAGGACGCCGTGTATTTTCCACGCGATGAGCCATAAATCACTCCAAGATTTTCATCGTTTAGCAGCTTTCGAGTCACGTGGAGCAAAGAAAACGTCCTTTCAAAGATATTAGCTGCTGATAAAAAGCATGAACAGTTGACCAAAGCCGCGCATGCACTATCTCTTTTCCCAGAGACGATGCGTTCGCGTGATAAAAATGGGCCAATAAATTTTCAGTAATCGATTCGATCTTCGTGAATAATTTTTACGTATAAAAAACATCAATTAATTCAGTCTAGTTGAACGATAAAACGATCGCAGAATTATGAAATGGTCGGGTAAATCCGAAAATCTAATTTTCGAAGAACAAAGTGAAGAATAGAACAATTGAAAAAGAATTCGTTCGATACACCTGCCCGAA